CACACACACACACACACACACACACACACACACACACACACACACACTGTCCTCAAATTTGTTCAAGCGGTATCAGCGTGTTTTGCTGTGCTCAGCAATTGCAGACATTTGTTTGTTTGTGTGTGTGTGTGTGGTTGTGTGTAAGAGACAGACAGCTGACACACCTTACGTTAGGGTTGAGATTGGCAGATAAAGGCTTTCTTCCAATGAATGCCAATGAGACGGCTGTCCAACGTCTGTGTGTGTGTGTTGACAAGTACAGGGTCTTCCCTTGCTGTCCCCCTCTGTCAGGGGAAAAATCAATCTCCCTGTCACCCATCTAACACCTTCCACCTGTTACACCACCTATCAGCAGCAATACCTGTCTGTGTGTGTGTCCTGTCTTTCTGTCAACCTCTGTCTCTCCTTTCTCCCATCGGCCTGTTGTGCTTTTCGTCCGTCTGTCTTCCCTTCTGGTCCCCGCTGTCTCTTTTTGTGTCCGTCTACCTGTGTCAAAGCGTCTTCTCTCTGCTCCTAATCCGTCGGCCATGACGTCGCCGCATCGCCGGTTTCCCCTTTTTGCTACCTCTCCATCTCGTTTCGCATTCTGATTCCCAATTATTTATCACTTTTGCCTCTCTCTCTCTCTCTCCTCCATGCTTGTTCGTTCTCAAATTGTTTGTTTGCTTCTTTCACATCTCTGAGCCAACAATACGTCTGCAGTGCTGCAGTTGAATTTGAACACTCGTGCTGGCAACTTCTCCTCACACCCCAGAGAATTATTAATGACAGCGATACCGCGGGGAGCGGGAGGCATTTATAACTCTCTTCTGCATATAGATCCCAGTAAAACTATGCATGAATGCGTGGAAATGATGATTACTATTACAGCTTACCTTTAGTTGTATTTTTCTGCTAGCAGGCGAAGGAGTTGATTCTGATAATAAATATTAAATTGAATCGAACCACAGTCGTCTTACCTCATGTTTCAGTCTGCAGACTCGAAAAACAATTAACATGAAGTGTGTCTTCTTTGCTCTCTTCCCCTTGTTGTCTAGATCCCTCAGATAAGCTACGCCTCCACGGCCCCAGAACTGAGCGACAACACGCGCTACGACTTCTTCTCCCGCGTGGTACCGCCGGACTCCTACCAGGCCCAGGCAATGATGGACATTGTCACGGCGATGGAGTGGAACTACGTGTCCACGCTAGCGTCGGAAGGAAACTATGGAGAGAGCGGCGTGGAGGCCTTCGTCCAGATCTCCAGAGAAACTGGTAGGAGCTCAAACGATGTTGGGTGGTTTGCCACTGAAGTGTATACCAGTGGTTCTCAAGGTAGGGTCCTGGGACTCTCAGGGATCTAGGGATGGGGCTCCTGGGGAGTCCTCAGGAATGCCATCTTTATAGATTCATCTCTATAAGACTGACATTTTTCGCGCTTTCACAGAGCATTTGGTGGTCTGTCGCTCTAGTGTCGGATATAATTGAAATGGACTCTMGAGAGAGCTGAACGCGGCCCTGTATGATACATGATGGGTGGCTTTAGCCTGTAATTTGAAGAGAACAATAGAAAGAACAGAGTGGGAACCTGTTCTTCGAATGTCTCAGGGGAAACTCCAGGGAAAATTCACTCTTTGGGTAAATTGCAGGCTGTAGATTTCAGGCTGTGGCGAGTGAGCGGAGACAGACAGTTATCACAGCGAGCATTTGATTGACAAGTGCTGCCGTCTTCTTAACTTTCTTTTTTATCTCTGTATGTTTGTAATTTCTAACAATGCTGCAGGCTATTGCATTGCAGTCGATGTCTGAAATGTTCGCTGCTCTGCATAGTATGCCCTGGGAAATTAGCGGTAACATGCCCTGAACATGTGATTACAAGAAAGGTAGTACGTATATCCTGGAGATGTACAGGTGAGTGACAAATGGGATTAAGCAACTTCAAATGCCTTAGGAAAGTGTTGATCTTTCATTAAGTGGTGGCAAGAGAGATGAGAGTAAATTAAAATAAGTGAGAGTGACAGAGACACAGAAAGGGAGAGAAACGCACAAAGACGGGATCACTTGTCGGTTTTGATGTGAGACTTAAAAGCACGGCCCCCGTGGTCATCAGAGCATTGGGAGAACGCCTCCTCAAATCAGTTTGTGAAATCCTATAAGTGGTGTTGACAGATCAAAATGCTGTCGGGTTCCCTGTTTATGACGCAAATGTTTATTGAAAAAACGGATCACGTTGGATGTTGACAAATATTTACAGACTGACGAGACTAAAGACACGTGAATAATCCATCTGAGAGAGTATCAGTCGAGATATTTCTATTTTTACGCTCCAGTCTCCTCCTTTTGCTTTTTGGGCATTGTTTGTGAGCTGATGTAGAGATGACAGCTCCGCGTATGTCTATCGGTCCATCCCTGTCTCTGTGCGTGTTTGGAGCCGGCTCGCCCTGGGTGCCGTGTGCTGTGGCAGTCAGCACATAGGCTAGATGTTTACAGTGGTGTCAGATCAGTGTGTTTGCCTGAGTGTGCATGTCTGCCACTGTAAAGGCTGAAGCGGTCCTTGGCAGTGTGTGTATTTTGTGTTTTGGGAGTCAGCAGTTATCTTGCCGTGTGTGTGTGTGTGTGTGTGTGTGTGTGTGTGTGTGTGTGTGTGTGTGTGGGAGGGCTACATGCTGTGACAGCAGTCAGTCAGTTGTTTACTCTGCGGCACTGCAGATGTGAACAGAACCAAGAAGATGAAGGGATGGGAGAGTAGAAGAAAAAAAAACCAGGGTGAAGAAGAGGTCCGAGGAGGGGAGAGCAAATGTGACCAAAGAGGGAGAGTTCAGTCTGTGTGTGTGTGTGTGTGTGTGTGTGTGTGTGTGTGTGTACATTAGAGTGGTGAATCGAGCTGTAGAGTGTGAGAAATAGAAGGGGAGTGACAGAGAATAGAAGAAGAATGGGACAAGGAACTGGGAACGGTGACAGAATAATGATAGGGCTTCTAATATAGATTCACAGCACTCCCTGCCCCTGCAAAACCTACACACACATACACACAGATATATACGCTCACATTCATACGCCCACACACACACACATGCATACAGAAAAAAATAGGGTGACACAGGTGGACATTCACTCATACACCCACGCACACACATGCAGAGCCACAGGGAATTTGTAGGTGATTAATTTGTGATTGCAGTGTAATGATTGCAGCTTACAAGGCACTCTGCATACTGATACCAAACATCCATATTAATTGGTGTGTAATTCTGTGTTCACTTATGATTCTTGACAATGTGTAGGGCTGCGCAGGAGTGTGTGTGTGTGCATATTGATTACCGAAAAGTTTCAGAGTAGACGCTCAAGTCTTGTCAGCATGAGTCAGAGGGTTACAGGATGTGTGTGTGCGTGCGCATTGTCAGTTACAGGACCAGTTTGATTCTGCCCAGTCATTCCTCTCTGTACTTGTCTTGTGCCTGTTCTTAGGTAATACATTGCGAAAGTTCAATATTTACTTCTCCCATGAGGTCTTTGAAAGGGAATATGTCCTACTTATGTTTGCTGCTCCACAGCTGCTGTTTTGTCTCCGCTCCCAGGAGGAGTTATGTAGAAAACTCTGCACAACTTATTTTGTAGCCACGCGGCAGTCAGCAAAATCTTTTTGTTTCAAAAAGAACTGCTTAAGGGAAAACTTGAAATAACAATAGATTTGAGGTTACTGCAAAAAAAAAAAAAAAAAAACCACAAAAAAAACCACCCTGGATGCTGGTGTTGAAGACTTCAACCTCCAAATTGTCGCTTTAACAATAATAATAATAGTAATAATAATACATTTTTTTGTATTGCACTTTTCAAGCTGGGAGCTTGAAAACGTGCTTTCTATAGATAGCAGATCATCACCAATACACAATATCAGGAAATAAAAACACAATAATCAGTCTGTATAAAATACAATGTATGACACGCGGAACTAATAAAATAAACTTAAAATCAAGTGGTGCATAACTTTAACTCCACCGCACCATCGTCGCACCGCTTTCTGTATTGGCACTGAATAATGGAGTTTATTAACTGAACGCAATTTGACTTGGAAAGTCATCTCATCCCGTGTTTATCCAGCGGTGCAATTGTAAAAAGAAACATATTCGCAGTTTGCTCATCCGTGGCCACATCCTGAAATATATTCACCATGACTTTTACAGCATACGCCGCCTGTGTGCTGTCACCCCCAGCCATGGCTTTGCAGTCATGCAGAACTAGTAACAGACACAGCTCAGTGAGCATGGGACCCAACGTGTTTACTCATTAGTAACTGTTCACATACTGTGCGCATAATGCAACGTTTTGTTTTTTTTGCCTTTTTGTACACAATAAGCCGGATTGGACCGGTGATTGAAGGTTAATGAACAAATAATGTAAAGGCCAACTTGCGGGAGAATTGTCGGGGAGTGGTTTGAAAAGGTCATGCAGGACGGCAGTGGTCCATTTCTGGTGGTAAAATGTGTTTCACGTGTCAAATGAACGAGACTACCGGCGATGGGACATCTTGCTCTCTTCTGACACTTCATTGATTCCCTGAAGGGGAAGGTGTTTTTCCTCGTTGGTAAAGCCAGAGTGTAAAATCACTTTTTTTATTTTTATTGTTCAGTCTCCCAGCTGAAGGACGGTCTCTCTCCCTGTATGCCACACTGCCCGTTGAATGCGCATGGAAATCGGCAGCATATGGTGCTGATTCTTGCCACGCACGTGAGATTGCAGCCTCCTATATATCGTGCTGTGTTCGCAGCATATGGACCACTGTACTATAAAACAAGAGGTGGCAGTTTACTTACCGAAGGAATCTTTTAAATCAAGTCACGGCCCCTTTCTCCTTCCAGTAACCTTCCTCGCCTTCCCCCATGGAATCCATCTGGGATTACAACTACCACATCTACATTCAGCCACACTGCAGGCAGAGGGGGAGAGGCCGTGTGTGTGTGTGTGTGTGTGTGTATGTGTGTGTGTATGTGTGTGTGTGTGTGTGTGTGTGTGTGTGTTGAGTATCAAGACAGAAGGCAGACTTTTTGTCAATGAGAGAGGGTGTGGGGTGACTTTGCGGGTGAGGAAGTGAAATGAAGGAGTGAGAGTGAAAGAGTGTGTGTGGACTGACTTCACCGGCTCAGAATAGTCCCCTCCCCCTGACACTGGCCGGTCTACAGCTCTGCAAGGCAGTAATGAAGAAGGGAAGGAAATAATTAAATGTTTATCTCCAGATTCATTTAATTAGTTCTCTGGCTCTAAACTAAGCTCCCGCCTTTTTGCTTAGCTTTACCTCTTTAGTTCGCTTTCAGTCCACTCTCCCCCCCCCCCCCCCCCCCCCCCCTCCCCCACAATGGAGCCGGCCCTCGTCATTATCCGAGTCTTGCTACCGGCTTATGCCGTTTCATTCAGACAATCGCGCTTTAATTGAAATGCATTGTGATGCATAATGACACATCGAATAAGTCTATTTATAAGCCTGTGTGCAGTATTCGTAGACCACACTGGTGTTGGAAAATCACTTCGCTTTGCATTATAGAAATGATACTTTATATTATTATTATTCATGAGGATATTGAAATGAATAAGGACCTCTGCTACACAGTTGCAGCACCACTCTTACAATATAATGATGTTGGAAACAAATTTGATTATACTAAATTTCAGCATGCATTATCAATATAATCATATAGAATGAGGTTGTAATTAAAGAGCTGGGACACATACTGATGTGTTTTGTATGGATTCTCAAACATATCACACAGTGCTTATGCTCAACACAAAGTTTTTTTGGCAGACCCACAGCTTCACAAACACACTAACTCACAGTCAGCTGACAGCATGTCTCCCCCGGTCGATTTAGCACTCTGTGCCTTGTCCTTGATTACACTCCCCTCACAACTTATGACTGATACTATTCATCAACACACACACACACACACACACACACACACACACACACACACACACACACACACACAGAGCACCAACATCAACCCATCCATTTGTAACTAATTACACCAGCCTTGGTTTTCATCTCAAGGTGAAGCCGTCTTTGTCGTCTTCATGAAAGGGCCCAAACTCTCAGAAGCTTGTAGACTTGTTTATTCTGTTGGTTTGTGGTTTGCGGTCTGTTCGTCCATGTAAAATGGAGCTCTGGTATTTCTAAAACCTAAATATATGTATTTTTTTCATGTCTCTGTGTGTAGTTTTGTCCACGGTGAGTACATTGACTGCCACACTGTTGCTTGCAGCGGAACAATACAGTATTTGCT